GGGGCACTGGGCATGGGGACACGGGGAGAAAATGGGCTGTGACTGGGCCAGGAGGTGTCCACAGCAGGGGTGGTCACCAGGCCTGCCCAGGGGTCCTACTGGGAGCACTGCAGCTGAACTGGGTCCGTACCTTGCTCACCTCCCGCTCGCCTGCGCTGAGCAGCTCCTGGCAGCCCCTGGGGCGCAGCTGGGCCTGGGGTTTCCCCGAACTGGCGGTGACTTGCCCGAGCACCGGCCCGGCACACAGTGGGGCCGTGGTTTCCAGATCCATCCGCAGCAACACCCGCTGGGCCCCATCATGGAGCAAAGTCCCTGGGTGACGAAGGGTGGGGACCAGGCCGCGCCCTGCACCTTGGCTGCCTGGATTTGGCAGTGGCGGGGGAGCCATGTGGCCCCAGCCCTGCAGCCAGTGACTGTTGGGCCGGAGCCACCGAGCAGCCCCTGAGGGGTGGGGGGGGACCAGCCCAGAGCCCCCCAAGAGCTGCGGGGGGCGGCAGTGACAGGTCTGTCCCCCTGCCTTGTGCCCATGTTGCAGCCCTGTACCAGGCTGGGCTCACCCACAGCAGGGAGAAAAGGGGAAACTGAGGCACCGGGGGAGCAGGGCTGCGGTTTGCTGTGATTTTCGTGGGGGCGGGGGGAAAGTGGCGATGGGCCTCATCCTGAGACACGGCTCACCCACGCCGTCCGCCTGACGGGAGCCGGTGCCCAGATGTGCCCTGAGCCTCTGCCCTGTCGTAGAATAGAGTCAGAGAATGTCCTGAGCTGGAAGGGACCCACAAGGCTCATTGAGTCCAGCTCCCGTCCCTGCGTAGGAAACCCCAAAATTCACCCCATGTGTCTGAGGGCGTTGTCCAAACGCTTCTTGAATGTCGTCAGGCTCGGTGCTGTGGCTCCCCCCCGGGGGAGCTTGTTCTGGTGCTGCATCACCCCCGGGGTGCAGACCCGTCCCTGCGTAGGAAACCCCAAAATTCACCCCATGTGTCTGAGGGCGTTGTCCAAACGCTTCTTGAATGTCGTCAGGCTCGGTGCTGTGGCTCCCTCCCGGGGGAGCTTGTTCCGGTGCTGCATCACCCTCTGGGTGAAGAACCTTTTCCTCCTGCCCAACCTCAGCCTCCCCTGGCAGATCTTCCTGCCCTCCCCTCGGGCCCTGTCCTGGGTCGCCAGGGAGAAGAGATCAGCGCCTGCCCCTCCTCTTCCCTTGTGAGGAAGCTGCAGACCGCCATGAGGTCTCCCCTCAGTCTCCTCTTCTGCAGGCTGAACAGAGCAAGTGCCTTCAGCCGCTCCTCGTACGCCTTCCCCTCCAAACCCTTCCCCATCTCTGTGGCTCTTCTCTGGCCGCTCTCCAGTAGCTTCTGTAGCCTTTCTGTAGTGCGGCGCCCAGAACCGCACACAGCGCTCGCGGTGAGACCGCACCTTTCCCGGTCGGTTATCTTAGTACTTGTACCAAGAAGGTATCATCCAGCTGCTTTAGGGATCTTCTGGACCTGCTTGTGCCAGCTGTGGGGTATTCCCAGGTGACATCTGGCAAGTTGAAGTCCCCCAGAAGGACAAGGGCGGATGGCTTGGAAGCATCCCTTAGTTCCGTAAAGAATAACTCATCCATGTCGTCATCCTGGCTGGGTGGCCTGTCGTAGACATCCTCATTATTTGTCTGTCCCTTAATCCTCACCCGGAGGCTCTCAGCCGTGCCGTCGCCGACGGCTGGCTCCGTGCACTCCAGCCCCTCCGCTCCGTACAGTGCCACCCCACTGACCCTGCCGGTCCCTCCTGAAGAGCCTGTACCCATCCGTCGCGGCACCCCAGTCCCAGGACTCATCCCACCAGGTTTCGCTTACGCCTACGACGTCGGATCTCCGGGACTGGGCCAAGGCATCCAGCTCCTCTCGCTTGGTCCTCAGGCTGCACCCATTTGTGTAGAAACACTTCAAGTTCGTTGTGCCCATCGCCTCGTGGAGCAGCCTGAGGAATCTCGCTAGCATGCAGCTCTCGGGCTTTAGTGTGCCACCCCGTTGCTCATCGCTGACTCGCCTGGTGGCGTCCCTTTCCCCCTTCCGATCAAGTTTAAAGCTCTGTCAGTCAGCCCTGCCAGCTCCTGGCCAAAACCCTTCTCCCCTTCCGAGAGAGGTGCGATATAGAATAGAACCGTTTAGGTTGGAGAAGGCCTTTAAGATCGAGTCCAGCCGCTAACCCAGCGCTGCCAAGGCCACCACTAAACCATGTCCCCAAGCACCACATCTCCCCGGCTTTGAAATCCCCCCAGGGATGGGGACGCAGCCCCTGCCCCGGGCAGCCTGGGCCAGGGCCTGACAGCCCTTTGGGGGAGGAGATTTCTCCCCGTACCCAACCCAAACCTGCCCTGGCGCAGCTCCAGGCCCTTCCCTCTCGTCCCAGCGCTTGTTCCTGGGGAGAGGAGCCCGACCCCGCCTGGCTCCGGCCTCCTTTCGGGTGTTGGGGGAGCGATGAGGGCTCCCCTCAGCCTCCTCCTCTCCAGGCCGAGCACCCCCAGCTCCCCCAGCCGCCCCTCACCACCCTCGGGCTCCAGCCCCTGCCCCAGCCTCCTGATAAAAGCCAAGATGCCGCTGGCCCTCTTGGCCACCCGGGCACCCTGCCGGCTCCCACCCACCCGCTCTCCACCACCCCCAGGGCCTTTTCCATTTCCCAGCCGCTCCTCCCCACGCCTGCGGCGCTGCCTGGGGTTGTTGTGCCCCGAGCGCAGGACCCGGCCCTGAGCCTTGTTAAACCCGGGCCCAGCGACCCGGCCTGGCCAGGCCCCTCTGCGGAGCCTCCCTGCCCCTGGCAGATCCACGCTCCCGCCCAGCCTGGGCTCCTCTTTAAACTTAGGGGGCACAGATCCCCTTGTCCGGGTCGTTGATAACGATATTAAACAGAACTGGTCCCAGTACGGAGCCCTGGGGACACCACTGGTGCCCGGCCGCTAATGGGATTGAACTCCTTTCACCACCATCTTTGGGCCCGGCCACCAGCCGGTTTTTTACCCAGCGAAGCGCACGCCCGTCCAAGCCGTGTCTCGCCCCCGCAGCGCCAGACGGAGGACGTGGTGACGGTGGCATCGAAGTTCAAGCAGCGCTACGAGTGTCGGCTCCCGCCCGCAGCCATCCGGCGGCAGCCCGACCCCGAGGAGGAGGCGCAGCTCTACAACGGCTCCGGCGTCGCCGAGCTCCTGCGCCCCATGGGTGCTGCCCCGTGCCTCGTCAAGGTGGGGCCTGGCGGGCTGGGAGGAGCGCAGGGTGGGAAGGGGGGTGGCACCCCGTGGCCTCCATCCCGATCCCATGATTTTCCCCGTTTTTTCCAGACCAAGGACTGGTGGACGTACGAGTTCTGCTACGGGAAGCACATCCAGCAGTACCACGTGGAAGGTGCCAGTGGGGCTGGGGACGGTGGCACGGCGTGGGGCAGGGCGGCGGGAAGGGGCAGGTCGTCCCCGATGTCCCCACCCTGCTCCTCGAGTGCTGCCTGCACGACTCTTGCCTCTCGCCGCAGAGTCGGAGATCAAAGGAGATGTCCTCTTCCTCGGCTACTACCAGTCGGCGTTCGACTGGGACGACGAGACGGCCAAGGTCTGGACTCCCCCCTCCCCAGGGACACCGCCGTCCCCTTGCCCAACCCTCTTACGAGACAGCGGGGAATCCCCGGGGGTCCCCGTCCCCACCCCGCTCTGCCCCCGCCGTCCCCCCAGGCCTCCAAGCAGCACCGGCTGAAGCGGTACCACAGCCAGAGCTACGTGAACGGCTCCCGCTGCGACCTCACCGGCCGAGCCAGGGAGGCCGAAGTCCGGGTAAGACCACGGAGGGGGTGATGCAGGCGTGGTGGCACTTGTGTCCCCGTCGTGGTGTCCCCGTCGTGGTGTCCCCGTCGTGGTGTCCCCGTCGTGGCGGCGGCTGATGGTCTCTCACCCTAGTTCCTGTGCGAGGAGGGCGCCGGTGACTACATTGCCCGGGTGGACGAGCCCCAGTCCTGCTCCTACGTCCTGACCATCCACACCACCCGCATCTGCCACCACCCCTTCCTGCGCCCGCCGGCCGGCGCCGCACCACAGCCCATCCTCTGCCAGCCGGCGCTCAGCCCAGCGCAGTACGTCGAGTACGTCCGCGCCCAAGTCTGTGAGTATCGGGGCAGGGGGGGACACCCCTCCCCGGCGGGACCCCGGCACAGGGGTGACACGCGTCCCCTCCAGCTGACACCAAGCGGAAGGTGGAGGAGATCTCGGAGGAGCTGAAGACGTTGGACACGAGGCTGTGGAGCGAGAGGGACGCCGAGACCCTCGCGCAGCCCCCCGAGGGTGTGCCGGCGGCCCGCGGTGACGGTACAGCCCGCGTCCCCTCCTCGTCCTGTCCCCTCTTCACCTCTGCAGTGACAGTACAGCCCATGTCCCCTCCTCACCGCCACGGTGACAGTAGAGCCTGTGTCCCCTCTTTATCCCGTCCCCTCCTCACTCCTGTGGGGATGGTACAGCCCGTGTCCCCTCCTTGCCACCGCGGTGACAGTACAGCCTGTGTCCCCTCATTGCCCCCATGGTGACAGTACAGCCCATGTCCCCTCTTCACCCCTGTGGGGACGGTACAGCCCGTGTCCCCTTCTTGCCACCGTGGTGACGGTACAGCCCGTGTCCCCTCCTTGCCCCCATGGTGACGGTACAGCCCATGTCCCCTCTTCACTGCCACGGTGACACTATAGCCCGTGTCCCCTCCTCGCCCTGTCCCCTCCTCGCCCCCGCGTTGAGGTGTGGCTCAGAGCCACCGTGGCCGTTTGCCAGCCGGGGCGCCGTGCTCAGAGCTGCCCGGTGCCAGCCATGCCCGTCCCCTCCTCCCGTGCCAGCCGCGCCGGGGGACGAGCCAGACCCAGCGAAGGAGGCGGCTTTTTGGGAGCGGGTGCGTGAGGTGACCGGCAAGGCCGGCGGCCAGCAGGACAGCGCCCGGGTGAGTCCCCAGCATCCTCGGGGATGTCCTCGTGGCCACCAACGAGGACAAGGGGGCCGGATGGGTGGCACATCGGAGGAGCAGTTTCGGGCTCCTGCTCCATCACCCCGTCTCCTTCCTGCAGGCAGAGGAGCCGTCCCCAAAGGCAGCCGGCGGCCGGGCGGCTGGTGAGTCCCTGGGGAGGTGGCCAGCAGTGGCCACTCTGTGTCCCCCTGCGCATGCCACGGGCCTTCATCGTCCCCGTCCTTCCCACCCGTCTATTTTGGTGGTTGCCTTGTAGATACGCGGAAGAAAATCCATTTCAAAGTGATCAGGAGCCCGGAGGACCTGCTCCAGTTCATCGAGGAGCTGAAGGAGAGCACCAAGAAGGTGGGTGACCCTGGGGCAGCTTCACCGTGCCTCAGTTTCCCTATCAGTACCAGGGGATGTTCAGGAGAACCTTCCCTCTGCCTCCAGGCCAAGGAGAAGGCAAGCGAGGAGGAGGAGGAGGCAGCGGCAAAGGCTCCCCCGGACCCTCCCGTCCCTGAAGAGCTCCCAGCGGGTGAGAGGGAGCGACCGGAGGAGGAAGAAGAGGAGGAAGAGGAAGACGGGGACCTTCTGGGTGGCTTCGAGAAGGAGCTGGAGGCCGTCCTGCTGCCCCGGGAGCAGATGGCCCAGCTGAAGGAGGAGGTGAAGACTGAGATGGAGAAGGAGTTTGACAACATCATCAACGAGGTGGGTCACCATGCTGGGGACCTCCTGGCCAGATTGGGGACCTCCTGGCCGGACTGGGAACCTGCTGGCTGGACTGGAGACCCCCCCTTGACCCCCCCCTGTCACCCGCAGGTGGAGGACGAGCTGGAAACGGAGGGGCTGAAGGGGGAGTTTGATCGTAACCAGGCCTCCAAGTCTTTGGCCTCCACCCTCAACCGCCTCATGGACAAGCTGGACGGGCCAGGAGGGGAGAAAGAGGAAGAGGAGGGGGCCGGGAGGAAGGCCAGCCCCGACCCCCCGGCCGATGGGCGGGTGCGGGTGCGGGTGAGCAGGATCGGGCCCGGCAGCGGCCGGCAACGGGAACCCCCTCGGCGGGAGATGGGGCGGGAGAACCCCCAGCTCCATCACATCGAGAGCGAGGTGCGGGAGCTGCTGGCCAAGGAGGGGCTGCGGGCCGAAGGTAGGG